GAATATAATATATTTTTTATTCAAATTAATAAATGTCTTATTATATTACTATATATCGTAACTAAAGTAATTACTTTTTAGACAATCGAAATATTAAAACAAAGTTATTTATATATCGTGTATAATCATTTTCAGCAGTCATTTTATATGTATACAGATTCATACATGATATGCTATTCAAAAACGATAAAATATAAGAATAGCATAAGTAACACTTTTTTCAGTTAAAAGAAAACGTTGCAACTTTCCAGAAAGTTGTTCGGATATATAAGACAGAAAATAAAAAATATTTCATTTTTAAAAAATATTTCTGTGTGATCGAGAATAAAAATATTTTCAATTTACTTCGATTGCATTAATTATGCCACCGACAGATGATGATATCATTTGGTATGTATAAAATATATATTTATTTATATTTATATATTAGTTTCGTTTAAGAAATAATAATATTATAATAATTTTAAATAATAATGTTTTATTGTTTAAAATTATATAATATTATTTTTTATAGTAGTGACACCAAATTTACTGTCAACTTGACGATCAACGGTATACAATACACAGGTAAGAATTATTTCATTGATTATAATTGCTGAAAATTTGATTGACAAAGACAAACTATATAAAAAGAAAAAAAGAATAATAAAAAGTCAAGCAATCATTATTTTAATCAAATAAAATAACCGTGCACGAGTTTAAAAGTTTAACTCAACATTATTATCATTATAGTATGCGAAGATGTTCCAATAGATACGTCCCTATATTTTTTTATTCATAATTATGCTAAATTACGTGGTACAAAATCCATGTGTCTCGAAGGAGGTTGTGGTGCTTGTATCGTTGCTGCCACAATAAAAGGAGAAACAATGGCAGTAAATTCATGTCTTGTACCTATTTTTATATGCAACGGGTACGTTTAATATATTTGCAATTAGTATTAATATTATTAATAATGACTTATTTATATACATTTCTTATTATGCTTCTATGAAAACTTGTAAACTAAAAAAGTATCCAATAAAAATTATTAATAATAATTCTGATTTCTGATATAAGATTTTATTTTTTTGTTTTGTTTATTTGTAGATGGGCGATCGAGACTATCGAAGGTATAGGTAATAGAATGAAAGGATATCATCCTATACAAAAAACTCTAGCAGTAATGAATGGATCACAATGTGGGTATTGCTCACCTGGGATGGTTATGAATCTATATAGGTCAGTACAAAACTTTCATAAATAATAATAATAATAGTATTAATAATGATTGAATAGACAGCGAGTTTTTATTTTTTAGTTAAATAGATTATTCTTAACAAAAATTGTTTATCAATCATAACTATGTTACTTTATTTAATTTTATTAACAAACATATACGATAAAACAAGAGTAATTAATTTAAATCAATTATATACATTTTTAGTCTATTAAAGGATAAAAAGCAAACGATGAAGGAAATTGAGAATTCGTTTGGTAGTAATATTTGCCGATGCACCGGTTACAGACCAATATTGGAAGCATTCAAATCATTCGCTTCTGATGCACCACCCAAGTTAGTGGAGGCCATTCAAGATATCGAAGTAAGAACAATTGTTTTTTTTTTTTTAATAAAAACTCGATATGATTATGATTTTTTTGCTGTATATGTTTTGTATTGTGTTCCTTAGGAATTTTATAAAATAAAAATGTGCCCAAAAAATGGTATGCCTTGCAAAAATGAAGAAAATGGTCGAACATGTAGCCCGCTAAGTTTGACAGATCTTTCGATAAAATTGGAGGATGCTGTGTTTTGCAAAGTATATTCGATCAAAAAACTTTTCTCGACGTTTCACAAATATTCGAATTTTACTTATATACTGAATGGTGGAAATACGGCTCATGGTTCGTAGTGAAAATCATTTTCAAATTAATGTAAATCAGAAAACGAATGAATTTTTTCTTTTTAATATCTACCAGCTGACATATTCCATTAAATAATTATATTATAGGTGTATATCGAGTTGAAAAAAAAGATCTTTACATCGACATAAACGATATACCTGATTTACGTCGAATAGAAAAAACTGAAAATTCTTTGATACTTGGCAGCAATGTTTCCCTCACGGTGGCAATGAATACTTTCGAGAAATATTCAAAAGATGATGGCTTCCAATATTTACGTCATTTGGCTCATCATATTGATTTAATTGCACATGTGCCAGTCCGCAACGTAAGCAATCGTAAAAAAATATATTTCACAAAATAAATGTTTAATAAATTATTAAATGATCGATCAATCGATTGAGTAAAAATATTGTTAGATCGGTAGCATAGCTGGTAATCTCATGATTAAACACGAACACCATGAATTTCCATCGGATTTATTCCTCATATTACAAACTGCTGGTGCAAGAATACACATACGTGAGTAAATTCATTTATAATTATGTAACATATATATATATACATGAAAATTAACCCAATATTATTTATTAATTAATTTGAAAAAATCGTTATATGTAGTAAATGAAATAATTTTTGTTTGTAAATCACAGTCGAAAGTCCTGGAAAAAAAATGGAAATGAATATGCTAGAATTTCTTAAAACTGATATGAGACATAAAATTATATACAGTATTGTCCTTCATTCTCTTGACAGCTCTTACGAATTTAGGTCGTACAAGGTAATTAAAGTAAAAAATCAAATGAATATTTAAACAAATTAAAAAGATTTTCTAGAACGTAATTATTATATCATCTGTAGATTATGCCAAGAGCTCAAAACGCACATGCCCTTGTAAACGCTGGCCTTTTATTTAAATTCGATGGAAATGGAAACATTTTGGAGAAGCCCAATATATTGTTCGGTGGAATTAGACCAGATTTTGTAAGAAATTTTGGATGAAAATAATAATTGGTATTTGTATATAAAATAATATGTCATAATAAATAATTTTAGTTGCTGAGGAAGTCTCAAATAGAGACGAAACGTTCAACGGATAAATATTGTGTTCATCTTAATTAAACCCGTCCAAAAAACAACTTCCCTAAGAGTAAACTTAGTAATAATAAATGAGAATATTTTTCATAAATCTTAAGTATTATATTGTTTATTTCAGATGCATGCAACACATACTGAAAACTTTTTAACTCACAAATCTATTTTCAATAAGAACGTTGTCAAGTCTGCTCTCGATATATTGGATAAAGAATTAAATCCTGATCACGTTCTGCCTGATTATTCTCCCGAATTTAGAAAAACATTGGCTGAAGGATTATTTTACAAGGTATATTATTAATAATTGAGATAGAACCTTTTAACATAAAACAATATTTTAGCCTTGATTATACATTGCTCAGCTAAATAACGCGTTCCGATCACATTGACTTCCGTAAATTCATTTATTACTAACACAATTTACGTATATATTATATTAGTTAATTAAAATCACTCGAAAAAATTGGCTATATTAAAGAAATTACGTAGCAACAATAAATATAAATAAAATTTGATTCTAGTTTATATTAAGCATAAGACCGGAGAACATTGATTCAAAACTTCGAAGCGGTGGAACAATTTTAGAACGCGAATTATCTTCATCTAAGCAAGATTTCGAAATTCAAACGAATCTTTGGCCACTGAACAAGCCTATTGCAAAAAGGGAATCCATTTATCAGACCTCGGGAGAGGGACAATACATCAATGATATAATGCCTTTAAAAGACGAGGTTTTCTGTGCTTTCGTCTCAACTGACGTGGCTAGTGGTAAAATTGAAAATATCGATGCTTCGAAAGCTTTGGTATGTTATCATTAAGAGATAATCATTGAAGATAGTTCAATTATTAAATTGATGGTATTTATAGGAAATGAAAGGAGTGGTGGCTTTTTATACAGCAAAAGATATTCCTGGAAAAAATATATTCATCTCAAGTTCTAGTAAAATGCAACTGCTCGAAGAAGATGAAATGGTAAGATAAATCATTATATTATCTCTTGATTTCATTGAATCGTTATTTTTTAAAGAATAATTTCAAATAAATATTTCTTTTTCTCTTGTTCTGTATTTCTTTTCGTTCTCTATATTATGTATCGTATTAAATACAAAAACCTTACGTTTACATAAAATTACTATCATTAGTTATTCGCGGAAGATAAAATTTCATTCGCTGGCCAACCAGTTGGGATAATAGTCGCAACTACTCATATTATTGCAAACGAAGCAGTAAAAAAAGTAATAATAACGTATGCTGATGCATTGAAAACGAAACCAATAATAACCATCGACGATGCTTTAGCTTCTAATGATAAAACTAGATTTTTACATCGTGTTAATAAACCGGCAAAAGAAAAAGGTAATGAAATTAATAAATTTATTTTTTTTGCAAGTACCATAGATACTCTGACTAAAGTAACTTTATCGACAGGTAAAGACACGAAATTTGTAGTCAAAGGTTCTTACAATGTCGGTTCTCAGTATCACTTCAGTATGGAAACTCAAACTTGCGTTTGCATTCCGATTGAGGATGGTATAGACGTTTTCGCAGCAACTCAATGGATGGATCTTACTCAAGTTTCAATTGCTCTTTGCCTAGGAGTTCAAAATAATAGGTATGGAATTTAGGTAAAATAAGTACATATATATCTTCTGGTTGAAAGATTTTTACTTGATAATCCTAATCTTTGTTGCTATTTACTAGTTGATGTCAGTCCATGAAATATTATCATTCAATAATCACCTTTACATATGATTATATAAGAACAATGTGTAATAATTGTATTATTTAATGAAATATTTATTATTAATACCTATATACACAGTAATAAATTTATATCGTTTATTTTTATTTTTTAGTATCAACATCAACGTAAGACGTTTAGGTGGTGGATACGGAGCAAAACTCACACGGGCAGCTCAAATAGCATGTGCATGTGCTCTTGCATGTCACAAACTTAATCGACCTGCGAGATTTATTATGACGATTGAAAGTAACATGATGTCGATTGGCAAGAGAGTTCCAGCTAAACAGGAATACGAAGTTGGTGTGGACGATGAAGGACGCATTCAATATTTAAATTCAATTCAATGGAGCAACGTTGGTGCTTCTTATAATGAGATGACTGGAATACATATAATGCATTATTTACCAAAGTACGTAGAATATTTTTCATATATATAATAATATATTATATACAAATTTTTGAAGATTATTTTAAATTAATTATAATAAACTATAATAATTTTATTAATAATCTATCAACATTTATTTTATAATTCACAGCTGCTACAAATCTGATAGATGGACTTGCAATGGTTACGAAGTTAAAACGGATATTCCATCCAGCACTTGGTGTAGAGGACCAGGTATGTTAAATAATTTTTTAGGATATTACGAACTTTAAAAAACAACACTCTTTTCGCATTAGGATCTTCGGAAGCTATTGCTATGATTGAGAATATAATGGAACATATATCTATGGAACTGAAGAAAGATCCCATAGAAGTTAGATTGATAAATATGACTGAAGAGGATAGAAATGTGATGGAATCAATGATAGATGATTTAAAAAAGTCTTCTGATTATGATTTGAGAAAGAAAGCTATTGAAATATTTAATAGTGTATGAACAAATCATTTGTTTTAACTATTGTATTTTCATTCATAAATTGTTTCATCAGCGTTCATTATATTTATTCTAATTGTTGTATAGGAAAATCGTTGGAAAAAGAAGGGAATAGCTTTTGTACCAATGAAGTTTCCTTTAGTACAATTCGATCAGTTCAGTGCTATGGTTAGCATTTATGCACGCGACGGTACTGTTTCTATATCTCATGGAGGAGTTGAAATGGGACAGGGTATTCACACAAAAGTAACTAAATACTTTTAAATTAAAACAAAAATAATAATTTTATCATGTAACTAATTCAACTGATTTGAATTTTTTGTTATTTTTTTTTAATTGTTAGATCTCTCAAGTAGCAGCATATATTCTCGATATAGATTTGGAACTTGTTAAAGTGAGACCCACTGATAATTTCATTGCTCCTAATAACATCTTCTCGGGTGCTAGTATAACAACCGAATCTTGTGCATACGTGAGTATTTTCTATTCTTTTTTTTTATGTTTTTCTAGTAATTTGTAAGAAAATTTCAACTGGGTATGAGTATGTTAAATTTCGTTTATTTTAGGCAACCATGATGGCTTGCAAAGAACTTCTGACAAGATTAGAGCCTATTAAGCAGGAATTAAAAAATCCTACTTGGCAGGAATTAGTTATGGCAGCATATTTGAAGAACGTCGATCTTAGTGCTCGTTACATGTAAACGCAAAACAAATGATATTTTCTGCTAGTTTTGAAAAGAAACATTATTTTATTATCTAATATATACAAAAGAATTTATTTTATACATATTTCGTTTAGGTTTACGCAGAAAGATATTACTAATTATAGCTCTTATGGTGTATCCGTCGCAGAGGTTGAGATTGACGTTCTTACAGGACAACATATTCTAAAAAGAGTTGATTTGTTGGAAGATGCAGGCGTCAGTTTTAATCCTGAGCTTGATTTAGGTCAAGTAGAAGGTGGTTTCATCATGGGAATTGGATATTGGACTTCTGAAGATTTGATTTACGATCCGAACACTGGCGCATTAACGAATTATAGAACTTGGGTATACCGATACAACATCTTAACTGTATCTGATGGAAACTATCTAATTTTATATACTAATGATACTTGTGTTTCTGTTTCGATTTAGAATTACAAGCCTCCCGGAGCTAAAGATATTCCGGTTGATTTTAGAGTTTCATTTAGAAGAAATTCACCGAATCGATTCGGTGTATTACGTTCTAAAGGTAAATACAAAAAATTGATAACTATAATAATAATTTATATATATGTCCGACTTATTGTAAATAAATTATGTTATAGCAACTGGCGAACCTCCACTATGTATGGGTGTTGTAATTTCTTTTGCTATTAGACATGCTTTAAATTCAGCAAGATCAGATGCTGGAAAATTTGACTGGTACCCACTAGGTAATAATGTTATTTATATAAATATTTAATTGTTGTTTTCATCAATTATTTTTAACCGTTAGAATCCCAAGTAACTTAATCGCACTCTTCAGATTTTGTGCCAATAAATTCCAGTACATTTTGAACGTCATGAACAATTGACGATGCATGTCGTTGACTGTCAAATTACCATTAAACAAAGTAAGTGCTACGCACAGTTTGAGCTTTCTCGCAATCGCGTTGTTCAGGCTATTTCGATATATTCGTTCTTTGAAAATCCTCTGGGATTCAAACGGTTTTATAATATTTATAAATATATAAATGTGTAATAAATAATATTTCAATTACAGGTGGTCCCGTTACTACGGAAAAAATTCTCCTCACGAGTTTAACTAATAAAGATCAAATGGTGCTGTAAATTTAACTCACGTTAGTAAGTTGCAAGTTATACAAGCTATAATTTTTAAATTGAGATTATAATGTTTCGAGAATAGGTCGAATGTATTCATCAATATTTGCAACTAAACGAAGAGAATAAATATATAACATTGATTTTTTACTTAAAAATTTAATGTTAACGCATATAAAATATTTAATAAATCAAGTCTTTTGTTTGGGTATTAAATCATTAATTATAATATTTGTTTTCTATACAATTTCAATTTCAATTTCTGCCAAGAAGCGCTGCACGTTGAATGATGCCGACAATTATGGATTGTACAATAGTGGGGACCGATTCTAGCAGTATCATAAGAGTAGTTTCTCCGGTTATATGAGATAGTTACAATCCTTCTCTCAAATCGTTCGGATAAAAGATAGGTTGAGCAAAAATTTATCTTTTTAAAAAGTTTCAAATCATCTTGCAATCGGATAAACGCATATCTGTTTATAAATAAGTTCGTCGTGTAGAAAACAAAATTGTGTGATCGAGAAATTAAAACAATTTAGATTTCATTTGTTTGTGTCGAATTTGTATTAATTATGGCACCGACAATGGACTTACTTTGGTATGTGTGTACACGTATATATATTTGATTTTTGTCGTCTTTAGGAAAATAAATAAAAATATAATAATTTAAAATCTTAGTGTATTTGATATGTAAAATTATAGATTATTTTTCGATTAATATCTAGTTCGTTTCACATGATATTGCGAATATCTAGAAACAAAATTTTGCAACAAATGAAACTTTTTATTCGATTACACAACTAACTAGTTAAAACGTGAAAGTAACGTGATTGAAATAATAATAAAGTATCTACTTACAAGGAATCTTAACATACTTTCTTAGTTTAACTTCTTTCCCACTGTTCGCGTAGTTGTGAGCAAAGGTTTTTTATAAACTTCATAGAAAATTGCTTGATCAGGTTGCGCGCACAGGAACATTCTCTAAGATTAATATTTTTATATATTTTTTTTTCTTGAAAAATTTTCAGATAGCAATAGATAATATATATTTTTATATATTACAAGTACTTCATTATTTTTATTCCAAGCAGATAGACATTTTTTTTACTTCAATTTAAAAATCATTGATAAGTATGAAAATTTTTAAACAAAATTATCTTGAAAAGAAAATACTTTCTATCATTAGATTTGTTTTTTGAAATAATGTAACATTCTCCCAAACAATTTTCTATAAAAGCAAAAATAACGAAGATGTATACATTCATATATCCAAAATTATTATATCGGATGATATAACAATTTTATATTCGTTGAATTCTTTTATATCTTATTACATAATTTCATTCCATAATAAAATTTCTCATAGCTAGCAAAATATATCTTCTTGTGTAACTGGAAACATTATATGAACATACGAGAAACGATGATAATGATAAAGAAATTTTAAATATAGGAATAATAAGATAAGATTAGAGAGTTTTACATGTCACTAATAAAATATATCATAATTTTAATCGTTGATAAATAATAAAAATTTTAAATAATGTAATTTAATCAATTAATCAATTTCCCCAAAGATATTGCAATACTAGCAAAATAATTTTGTTTAAATATAAAACAGTATTTCTTGAGTCATTTGCATGTAACGATAAGATAATTTCAATTCAACGTGTATATTACTTCCTAGTAATTAAAGCATAGTGTAGTATTTTAGGCATTATATATTCATGTGTATGTGCATATTCGTGTATTCGTAATCGTAACTCTAAGTAAATAAGTAGTTAACAGGTAAAAGGAGCCAAGAAATAAGTTTTTCTTTCATGGCAAATAGCTAGTTTGAAGAATTTCTATATACAATTAGATATATATAAATACAATATAAAAAAGTAGGTGGATGTACATACATATACGTGCATAAAATGAATAACAACTGTTCTTTATAGAAAGGATATAACATATCAGACAAGATTTAATCAAGTCATACCCATGACGACGTTTTCTCACGCTTCCTATTACATATTGAACGTATGTGTGTATATACAAGGTGTCTTGAAAGTTCCCTTAGATCTTTGTTAACTCAACAAGCAAAACGAAAATTTATTATGTAGTATTAAACCTACATTTTTTTTACGTTACTCTTTAATTACAAATAAAGAATTAATTTTATCATGGAATTATATACAATATACATTAAATATACGAATATACGTATATGACGATATTTATTAATACAATGAAAAACAAAAGAAATTAAAAAAATATAATTTTAATTAAATAAAGGACATTAATATCACTAATATCAAAGCACGTAAAACTTAAATTTGATATACGATATAAATAAGTAATATACAATTTTGCTAAATACGAGTTCTTGTCTCTTTAACTTCACATTTTCTTGAATAATTTCTTACGTAATCTATTGAAGAAAATACCTAATAAGCTTTGAGTACTGGTCGTATAAATTATAATTTAATGATGCAACATCCGAATGATAATAAATTTTGTATATTACAACCTACACAGACTTATACTACAATCTTCCTTAAGACAAATCATATATTATCAAACGGATTAGCGAGTTCGATTTAGTCTCGTTAAATCTAACCCTCGTAATCAAAGGAAATATCTCGTTAATATTTTTATTAATGTTCTGATGTATGCTTGTTACGTATACGTTCATTTTAGTTAACAACAAAAATCAGATTAATTTTAATATCTGTTATTTGTTCTAAAGAAAACAAAAAATTTTATCATAGAAAGCAACAATATGTGAATATAATAATTGGTAAAAAATTGAATGAAATAAAAGTTAAAGAAAAAAAAAGTAATTGGATACATTCTAATTTGCATACGAACAATATGAGTATAAATTGCTTGATATAAACATGTGATTGTATAAAAAATATTACTTAAGATAATCATTTCCCCCCCTCTCACCCTTTCTCTCTTTTTTTATCTAATGCATATACAATCTATAATTATTTTCTAACAATATATACAATATATATATAACATGTTCAGAAAATGTTAGTGCAATAAATATGAATGACGGAAAACAATAGAGTTCATAACTAACATAACTACAGTTATTGCGCATTTTACAATTTGAATAGAAGTTGTGCAATCATATAATAATATATATCTATAGATAATATAAATAAATGTATTTTTGCAAGTACAATTGTTATCTTATCTATTCTTTCGTTAAAAAAATAAATATACAGGATGTCTTTAGTCACGATTTTTTAAGTACTTACGATAACCTGACAAAAGAATACTTTAAACAAAAGTTGATCTGTTTTTGATTGAATATATATTGCAATAAAAAAAGTTCGAAAAAAATTTTTTTTAATGTTTTTTAAGGCTACCTTTATTTTTTTAAATGGTACTTAGTGTTTTTGACTTGACAGTATTATAGTTCATAATAATACTAATTCAACGATATAGTATACTATGGTCTTTCGATGATTTAGAAATGAAAATTTCAACAAAAAATTATTTTGCTTGACATCGGCGAACAAGTGTTTTTTTTTAAAAAAAAATTACTTATGTATGTAATTATAATTGTTACTTAAACAAAACATAAACAATATCATAGTGCTGTTTTCGGCCTTTTTGCGAAATGTTTTTCGCTTTATACAGTTCTTTTGTTTAGTCTTGATTTGTCACGGGAGCAAATCGCAGTTTAATATTAATTTATCGCTAATTTGTTAAAAAAAAATGTCATTTAACTTGTGATAAGCTTCAAGAAATTTTTCTTAACAAAGAAAATACTTATACGGTTGGAAAAAAAAGTTGTCATTTCACACTTGACAGGTTGTTATATTAAAAAGAAAAATATCGTCAATTACATTTAAAAATAGATTATATTAAACAGCTTTCACGGATAAATTTCTCTATTTGTGTTTAATTGTCCTACACAAAGTACAAAATATATAAGACTTCTTTTTTATTAACAAAGTGTGTGTGAAAATTTTATAAATAAATAATACAATGTATATTCATTTTTATATTTTAGGGATTCTAAATCTACCGTCGACTTGACTATTAACGGTAACCCATACACAGGTACTATCATCGACAAATTTAAATAAAATAAAATAATAATAAAAATTACAACAAAATATATTATTATTTTTTTTAGTATCCGAGGATGTCCCACCTAATACGACTCTAAACGTTTTTATTAGAGAATATGCGAAATTACGTGGTACAAAAGCTATGTGTCACGAAGGTGGTTGTGGTGCTTGTATCGTTGCTGCCACAATAAGAGGAGAAACAATGGCAGTTAATTCTTGTCTTGTACCTATTTTTATATGCAACGGGTACGTTTAATATATTTGTAATTAGTATTAATATTATTAATAATGACTCATTTATATACATTTCTTATTATGCTTCTAAGAAAACTTTTAAATTAAAAAAGTATCCAATAAAAATTATTAATAATAATTCTGATTTCTGACATAAGATTTTATTTTGTTTTTTTTTTATTTGTAGATGGGCGATCGAGACTATCGAAGGTATAGGTAATAGAATGAAAGGGTATCATCCTATACAAACAACCTTGGCAGCAATGAATGGATCACAGTGTGGATATTGTTCAGCTGGCATGGTGATGAATCTTTACAGGTTAACACAAAAATTTTATAAATAAGAATAAAAATCAAAATAATCATTATTGGATATAGAGTGATTCATTATTTTCAAGTCATGCAAATTAATGATAAAAATATTTATTACAAATATGTATTACATATTTTTCTGTTAAATCAAATAAATTAAAAATTTTCAGTCTCTTGAAGGACAAGAAACATACAATGAAAGAAATCGAGAATTCATTTGGTAGTAATATTTGCCGATGCACGGGTTACAGACCAATATTAGATGCATTCAAATCTTTTGCTTCTGATGCATCACCCAAGTTAGTGGAGGCCGTTCAAGATATCGAAGTAAGAACAATTGTTTTTTTTTTTAATAAAAACTCGATATGACAATGACTTTTTCGTATATGTTTTGTATTGTGTTCCTTAGGAATCGTATAAAATAAAAATGTGCCCAAAAAATGGTATGCCTTGTAAAAATGGAGAAAATGGGCGAATTTGTAGTCTGCAAAATTCAACCCCTGTCTCGATGAAATTGGAAGACGCAGACTTCCACAAAGTACTTTCGGTCGATAATCTATTCTCAACGTTTCAGAAATATTCGAATTCTACTTATATACTGAATGGTGGAAATACGGCTCACGGTTCGTAGTTTTTTCGAATTAAAAAAAAAAACAGAAAAACGAATGAATTTTTGTTTGTCTACCAGCTGATATAATCCATTCAATAAATATATTACAGGTGTCTATAGAATTGTTAAACCAGATCTTTATATCGACATAAACGATATACCTGATTTACGTCGAATAGAAAAAACTGAAAATTCTTTGATACTTGGCAGCAATGTGTCCCTCACGGTGGCAATGAACACTTTCGAGAAATATTCAAAAGATGATGGCTTCCAATATTTACGTCATTTGGCTCATCATATTGATTTAATTGCAAGTGTGCCAGTCCGAAATGTAAGCAATCGTAAAAAAATATATTTCACAAAATAAATGTTTAATAAATTATTAAATGATCGATCAATCGATTGAGTAAAAATATTTTTAGATCGGTAGCATAGCTGGTAATCTCATGATTAAACACGCACACCATGAATTTCCATCGGATTTATTCCTCATACTACAAACTGCTGGTGCACGCATACACATACGTGAGTAAATAAATATATACGATAAATAAAATATTTCCCAATCAGAATTCCTAATTTTATTTTTCGACTACTATATAAGTTTAATCTCATTCTAATAAAATTATGATTTATAGTTTTACATTTATAGTTATACATAAAATTTAATCAATCGTTATATTATATAATAAATAACAATTTTTTTTGTAAATTACAGTCGAAAGTCCTGGAAATAAGATAGACATGAATTTGCTACAATTTCTTGAAAGTGATATGAGACACAAGATTATATACAGTATTGTTCTTCCAACTCTCGGTAGCTCTTACGAATTTAGATCCTACAAGGTAATTAGAGTAAAATAAAATAAACAATAATTATAAATAAATATAATTATACATTTTATGTAGATTATGCCAAGAGCTCAGAATGCCCATGCCCATATTAACGCTGGTTTTTTATTTAAATTGGATGGAAATGGAATAGTTTTAGAAAAACCCAACATACTATTCGGTGGAATTCGACCAGATTTTGTAAGTAATTTAGGATACAATGAAATAAGAACATTTTTGATGAATCTTAAATATGATATTGTTTCTTTCAGATGCATGCAGAAAATACTCAAGAATTTCTACTTAACAAATCCATATTCGACAAGAACGTTATCAAATCTGCTATCGACGTATTGGACAAAGAATTAAATCCTGATCACATTCTGCCTGATTATTCTCCTGAATTTAGAAAAACGTTGGCTGAAGGATTATTTTACAAGGTATTATTAATAATTTTATTACGAAAAGAAAATCTTCAAATTAAAAAATTTACAATATTAGTTATACTAAATAATTTTATTTTAAATAATAAATATAAATAAAATCTGAGATTTTTTTTTTTCAGTTTATATTAAGTATAAGATCAGAAAACATTGATTCAAAACTTCGAAGCGGTGGGACAATTTTAGAACGCGAATTATCATCTGCTAAACAAGATTTCAATACGGATAAAAATATTTGGCCACTGAACAAACCTATTGCAAAAAGGGAATCCATTTATCAGACCTCGGGAGAGGGACAATACGTCAATGATATAATGCCTTTAAAAGACGAGGTTTTTTGTGCTTTCGTCTCAACTGAAGTGGCTAGTGGTAAAATTGAAAATATCGATGCTTCGAAAGCTTTGGTACGTTATCATTAAGAAATAATCATTGAAGATAGTTCAATTACTAAATTGATGGTATTTATAGGAAATGAAAGGAGTGGTGGCTTTTTATACAGCAAAAGATATTCCTGGAAAAAATATATTCATCTCAAGTTCCAGTAAGCTGCAGATGCTCAATGAAGATGAACTGGTAGACTACATCATTTTTCTGTCTTTTGATTTAATTGAATCGCTATTTTTTTAAAGAACTGCTTAAAACAGATATTTCTCTCTCTCTTTCTCCTTTTTTTACGTTCTCTATAGTATGTATCATATTAAATAAAAAAAAAATGACCTATGCATCAAATTATTATCCTTAGCTATTCGCGGAAGATAAAATTTCATATGCTGGACAACCAGTTGGAATAATAGTCGCAACTACTCATGCTCTTGCAAATGAAGCTGTAAAAAAAGTAAAAATAACGTACACTGATGCATTGAAAACGAAACCAATAATAACCATCGACGATGCTTTAGCTTCTAATGATAAAACCAGGATTTTCCAAACTGTGAATGTTTCTGCCAAAAATAAAGGTAATTAAATTAATTAATCTATTGTAACTAACAATAAATATCGTAGATATTTTATTTTGAACAATTTGTAGGTAAAAATACGAAACACGTTATTAAAGGCTCCTTCTCTCTTGGTCCTCAATATCATTACACTATGGAAACTCAATCTTGCGTTTGCATTCCGATTGAGGATGGTATGGACGTTTTCGCAGCAACTCAATGGATGGATCTTACTCAAGTTTCAATTGCTCTTTGCCTAGGAGTTCAAAATAATAGGTATGGAATTTAGGTAGAATAAGTATAGTCCTAAAATCTTCGTTTCTGTCTATTAGTTAATGTCAGTCAATGAAATACTGTCATTTATTGATCACCTTCGATTAATATCATCCTTATAAAATAAATACCTTTTATTTTTTAGCATCAACATTAGTGTAAGACGTTTGGGTGGTGCGTATGGATCAAAAATTTCTCGAGCTACTCAAATAGCTTGTGCATGTGCTCTTGCATGTCACAAACTTAATCGACCAGCAAGACTCATTATGTCAATCGAAAGTAATATGATGAGCATAGGCAAGAGAGTTCCAACCAAACAGGATTACGAAATCGGCGTGAACAATAAAGGACGTATTCAATATTTAAATTCTAATCAATGGAGCAATCTAGGTTGTTCTTTTAATGAAGTGCATGCACCAATTGTAATGCATCATATGGAAAGGTATATTATAGTATTCATACGATATGATATATAATATACATATTTAAAGATTATTTTATTAAATGAATATAAAATTATTTATACTATTATATATATGCAAAATAATTATAACTTAATAATAAATTAATAATCGTAACTATGTTTAATTAACAAACAATTGTCTAATAAATTTCTAATAATTTTAATAATAAATATGCATATATATAATAATAATTATCTAATAATTTATTAAGATCTATCTTTTAATTACAGCTGTTACGATGCTACTAGATGGACTTGCAATGGTTACGAAGTTAAAACTGATGTTCCATCCAACACTTACGCTAGAGCACCAGGTATGGTAAATTTAAACGATTTGTTATAATTATATGATATGTAATAAGTATTATATTTGCGTCAGGATCTACCGAAGCAATAGCTTTAATAGAAAACATAATGGAACATATAGCTGCAGAATTAAACAAAGATCCTACAGAAGTTAAATTGATTAACATGAATGCAGAGGATAAAGCTGTGTTAGAACCAATGATAGCAGATTTGAAAAAATCTGCTGATTACGATTCGAGGAAAAGAACAGTCGAAATGTTTAATAATGTAAATAATCAAGTTTTTTATTTAAGGATATATGTATAGATTGTCCTATTTGTGTTGTTTTATTTTATGGTATACGTTTCACAGGAAAATCGTTGGAAAAAGAAAGGAATGGCATTGGTACCAATGAAGTATCCTCTCATGTATTGGGGACAATTTAATGCTATGGTTAGCATTTATGCACGTGACGGAACTGTCTCTGTTTCCCATGGTGGAACTGAATGCGGACAGGGTATTCACACAAAAGTAACTAAATATTTTTAAATTAAAACAGAAATAATAATTTTATCATGTAACTAATTCAACTGATTTGAATTTTTTGTTATTTTTTATTATTGTTAGATTTCTCAAGTAGCAGCATATATTCTCGGTATAGATTTGGAACTTGTTAAAGTGAAACCCAGTGATAATTTCACTGCTCCTAATAATTCTGTCACAGGTGGAAGTATCACAAGTGAATCTTGTGCATACGTGAGTATTTTCTATTCTTTTTTATGTTTTTCTAGAAATTCGTAAGAAAATTTCAACTGGGCATGAGTATGTTAAATTTCGTTTATTTTAGGCAACTATGATGGCCTGCAAAGAACTTCTGGCAAGATTAGAGCCTATTAAGCAGGAATTAAAAAATCCTACTTGGCAGGAATTAGTTATGGCAGCAAATATGAAGGACGTTGATCTATGTGCTCGTTACATGTACACAAATATAAGATAACATTTTTTGTTTTATTTCTTTGGGCAACTTATTTGTTTATCCGATAAAAAAAACAATAATTAAATATATTCATATTATTCTTAGGTTTACAGCGAAAGATGCAACACCTTACAAAATTTATGGTGTAACTATTGCAGAGGTTGAAATTGACGTACTTACAGGACAACATCTTATACAAAGAGTTGATCTGTTAGAAGATACTGGTGTCAGTCTTAATCCTGAGATTGACTTAGGTCAAGTAGAAGGTGCTTTCATCATGGGAATTGGATATTGGACTTCTGAAGATTTGATTTACGATCCGAAAACTGGCGCATTAACGAATTATAGAACTTGGGTATATCTATATAAAATCTTAACTGATCTGTGAGAACAAATCTAATTTCATATACTAATGATGTTTATGTTTCCGTTTCGATTTAGAATTACAAACCTCCTGGCGCTAAAGACATTCCAGTTGATTTTAGAGTTTCATTTAGAAGGAATACACCGAATCGATTAGGTGTATTACGTTCTAAAGGTAAATACAAAAAATTGATAACTATAATAATAATTTATATATATATGTCCGACTTATTGTAAATAAATTATGTTATAGCAACTGGCGAACCTCCATTGTGTATGAGTTGTGTAATTCCTTTTGCTATTCGGCAAGCTTTAAATTCAGCTAGATCAGAAACTGGAAAATCTGGCTGGTATCAGCTAGGTATAGATAAAAATTATTTATAAATATTTATAATTAATTTCAATTAACTATTTTTATTTTAATACATAATAATCCTACTTAAATTTTTTTAGATGGTCCTGTGACAACAGAAAAAATTCTTCTAACTAGTTTAACTAATAAACAACAAATGGTCTTAGAAGTTTAATTGTAGTAGTGATATATAAAAATAAAGTAATATTTTTAAACATAAAGAATAGATGTGCATTAAAAAAATATTTTCACTTGTATACACATGTGTTTATAATAAGCTGTAGTGAAACAATAAAGTTTAGAACAGGGCGTATATATTCAATAATATTTTGTACAAAACAATGAAGAATAAATATATAACTTTGGTTGTTTGTTGGCCTTAATTTGATCAAGATTTTATATTAACGTATATTAACCTTTAATTAAATGAAGTTTTTTTACAGGTGTAAGATAATAAATATTTTATTTCTGTACAATTTAGAAAGAAGGTAACTACGTCATATGTAACTTATCGCAATAAATTATTTCACTTATTGACCTTTTTATTCTAAGTACCTAAGTAGTTTTTTGTTGACCGATCCTCCATGCATCTTTGATAGATTTTCCAATACCAGGTCCATTGTAAATTAGTACAAGAAGCCCAGCAAGTGTTACAATTGACAAAAGATTTAACAAAAGATGGAATACCTTAGGAAGAAGCGGTCCAAGAATAATAGGTCTTGCATAATCAACAACCAAAGCTTCCAAACCCCTATTTATATAAATATAATGATTAATGATTTTTTAAATAGACATGCATCTGACCAATACAAAGTACGTACCAATGCATATGCATTACAACTAGAACAGCAGTTATAACATCGATAGCTGGATTTTCCAATAATAAAGAAGCTGGTAGTAAAACTGGCATCGCAGCAGAAACTAATTTCTCTGCGACCCATAAACGTACATGACTGCCTGTTGTACTAGCAAAGCGAGATTGATTTCCACTTAAGGTTAAAGACATAGGTAACTGTTAACAAAATGATAAATGATTTCTAAAATATAGTTTGTCAAGTTATTTTCAAAGAATACGCCTCAAAGATATATATCATAAATATATAAACCTTTGTCAATAATTGACGATTTTCATTATTAGCTAATTTAGTATTGGTAAGATTCAAATTTGTAAGGGACGAAGAAAATTTGGTTGTTCGTGACAATTGTCCATAGTGCGATAACATACAACTAGGTTTTGTAATAGATTCTGAAATAAAAAATCATGTTTGTTCAACATTTTTTTCAAAAATATTATCAATATTACATATTATTACAGTATGGAAATGCATTAGAGAAGAACTATAGTGAGGTTAAACAAATGATAACGATTACATAAACGTTACTTATCCAAATATTATTTTAATGTGCAAAGAGAATATGAAAACATAAAAACAAATAACTTACCAAATTGTTTGATGTTACGCAAAACATATTGATTTGCTATTCTTTGTAAAATCATCTTGTTAGAAATTCCAAAGTAACGTTGATTTTGAAAATATTTAATTACTATTAATAATATATATATGCCACACAAATTTTCGACTAATTTTTTCTCACTATTTTATTGGTTAAGTTTAGAAACGTTTAATCCGAAGTGATCTTAATTTACAAATGTAGTTTCTAAGTAGAAAAGTGACTAGAGACACAAGGATAGTAACGATATATATGTACTTTTTTTTCTGATGTTGTATGTGTGAATGTATGAAACGTACACCACTAAATATAATCGTATTTACAGAGTTGATTTATATAATCGAAAGATCTAATCTCGATTATGAAAATCGATCTAAATAAATTAAATAATCATAATAAATTTATTTATAAATGTCATCAGATTGTATTTAATTTATGTGTTAAACAAATATATATATATATATATTAATATTTTATTTATAAAAAGATATATCTGATATTTTAAAAGAGGTATTTTTTGATTGGTGCATATTAAGGAATCAAAATACGAATGCAATTTGAAAATGTTATATAGAAATTAAAATAATTATTTCATAATCAATTTGTGTATAAATTAGATCTAAATATTTCATAACGGCGTAAAGAAACTTTATTATGTAATTATATAATCAAAAATATAACAAAATATTAACATTTTATAATATAAGATAATCTTTTTTTAAAAAATATTATAACACAATTAAGATATATTCATCATATATTATTGGTTCTTGGTGCATTGATTTTTCAATAATTTAATTATTGTAAGTTTTAACAACATTTTCAACAAATGTTGCCAGATCGACATCCTTCTGCGATAATCCATTAACATCATGCGTAGACAAAGTCATGTTTACTTTATTATAAACATTAAACCATTCAGGATGATGATTCATCTTTTCTGATTGTAGGGCTACTCGTGACATAAATCCAAAAGCCTATTAAAAAATATAAATATAGCAATCAGAACAATGGTAATGCATGCAATCGTTTAGAATTAACAAGGATGTTAATTTACTTCGTTGAAATTTTTAAATACAAATTCTTTATATATAGCATCTCGCTCTGCTTGGACAGACCATCCGCTTTCTAACAATGGACTCAGGAGTACGTCTCTCTCTTGTTGTGCAAGTTTCTTCTAGAATCATGGTATATTAACACTGTTATGTATTTTATATTAACAAATCTGAATAAATATAATTTATTGAATATGCATATATAAGGTAAAAATATTATTAAAATTAAGTAAGCACTCATATTATCGGTAAGATACTATTTCATCTTATCATAATATATTATCGACATCAATTTTAATATATATTATTATTTGCATATTAATTAGATCTATTTATTATTTATTTATTAAATCAATATTTCATTTATATTTTTCTTATTGTTATAGAAAGAAATATAATGATACAAAATTCATTTTCTTAAAATTTTTTTTTTTTACATAGATATTGTAGATTTTGTACAATTCACAAATAAAAAGATAGAGTAACAACAAGTGGTTGAACATATTGATTTCTTTAAACACAAAATAGTATCTTGATTTATAATATTTATAACTTTATTTATATTCAAATATGTTTGATATATAATAAATATACTATTTGTGCTAAATAATCTCACCATTTTTTGTCTCTTGGAACTAACAGCTGTGGATAATTGTTTTTGATCAAGGTTGTGACATATACCGATATACTGTTCAAACCCCCTTCTACTGATAAATCTTCTAGTCAATATTGCTAGCAGCATCTTAGTTATGGACCATACGTAGTTCTTTATAAGCTTTGTTTTCAAGAGAGAGAAGGAGAGAGAGAGAGAGAGAGAAGCTCTAGTAATATTAAAAGCGGGAATACAGTATGATTTAAATTCTTTATGTACAATATTATATAAATATCTAATAAAAAGATTATTTTACTAGGAAGTTATACTGAATTTTGATGCATTATGGTGCATTATTTGTTTATATACTACATGCATTATGTTTTTCTTTTACTACCATGTTATTTATTGTCTTTTTATAGTAAATAAAAAAAAATAAAATATTATTTTGTGATAGAAAATACATAATTGTTCTCAATCATTGTTATTATTTATAATAATTTAATCATAATAATATAACATTGCATTATTTATAATACTTTAATGATTTGTCATATCAGCGTTAATGTCGCTGTAGTTAGCGTCCACGAAACCAAAGAATACAGAAGTACATAGAAACTCACAAGTCCCCTTTTTTATCTAACTAGATTCATTTTAGTTACTACCGGGACCACCAGTGGGTGAGAATAGGAACTTAACGCGATGACCGTACAATACTATCAAAGATATGATAAGTATATGATAGTATATGATATAGTAAAGTTATATTATAATAGAATTTTAAATAATTATATTTAATTTTTAGTGTATAAGCATGTGTGTGCCTTCAGAAATGCATTTATATATATATATATTTTAAAATGAAGCAATTTAAGACACTCAAATAAAAAAGAACCCAGAAGGTTTGTTGTTAAATCCAACGATGATCACCTGTAACAAAAAGAAAACTACATTAATCATAGAATCGAGTCATACAATAGCCTAACATATAAGTGGTCCAATTCACAGATGCACTTTTCATTTGAATTCCCTAGTTATTTTTATCCAATCTCTATTTACCGTTTGTAAAATAAAATTAAATTTAAGCGCGTGATTTTACATTAAAAAATATAATTAATCAAGAAACCGGAAAAGTAAAAAATATTATAATAAGTTACTAAAAAAAATAATATCCTATTAATTATTATAAAATACTTTTAAACTATACGTTATATACAAAAGAAAAACTGCAAATTTCATAAAATGCAATCACAGTAAAAAATCCTGAAAACGAAACAAGAAAAAAGAAATGACTGTAATATTTACTGAACGTTAATCAAACATTAAAATTTAATAATACGAGAATTTTAATATTTTTAACTGTAACTAACTAAAAACTTATGCACCTTTTGGACCAATTGGCACACAGATTTGGTGTGCTAAGGAGATGGAATGATCCATCATCTCCAATTACAATTACAAATTAATAACGAGCAAGTAAGTGATATAATAAAATATAAAATAAGACTAGAGAGCTATTTTCGAAAAGTTCGAACTTGCTGTTGAACCATTGAAAATAACTCAATAGTCTATGTAGTTGCCCACTTGATACCACAGTTAAGTGGGGGCCTCTTCGGCATTAGCCTCTTCGGCATTTAGCCTCTTCTTTCTTCATGCCCTAAACGCTGCTGTTAGGCATTTTACAACATTTACTAGAATGCCTCAACAGATATTTGATCTAATCGATGAACCTATTATTAACACTTTGCATTTAAAAAATTAAATAATATCAAAGAAAAGCAGAAACTTTGTAATACATCTCACGGTTTTACTTTTTTACTCGACCACTTTTATCTTTTATCTTTATTCTCCTTTGTATTTACTATACATGTATAAAAAATGAAGTATTTTCAGTAGGAATTACTAAAGAGCAAAGTATTAATATACTTAATATTAAATAAGTATCCAACGTATTCAGCTATCTTCACTTTTTCGAAAAAAAATTAATTTTTAAGAAAACGCAAAGACTTTTGAATCGTTCGATACTGATTTATATCTCGCGGTACAGAGTATCAGCAATATATAGAAAAAATAAAAGAAATATTTAAATGATAAATGGATCTAAGGGTTGCTGAAACTTTGTATAATATCCGGAGAAGAAATTGTCCACTTCTGAGTGGATAATACAATTGCGCGACTTCTCCGGTCTCTACCTACTTATCAATTAAATAAACATTCACTCCTAAGTATGCTATCTGCCTGTCTATTGGCAATATCTAAAAAGAGCAAACATACATACATACCCACCCACCCACTCCACGATTCTC